GTCCAAGTTTTGAACAATGGTTCTGTTTTGTTATGTTTATGTGAATCACTTCACCCATGCCTTGATATTACTCTATAACTTTCTTCTATTGTCAATTAAGGACTTGATTCTGTAATCTGATCCATGCAGGCAGATCCCTCTGCCCCCACAGAACCTCAGAAGTCAGGGGGGCTCCCAGGTAGATCAGAGCCTTAGTTTGTATTAGCAAAAGATACATTTTAGAAAACAATCTGAAAAATGAAAGACAGGAAGTAATTCATATATGTCACTTGTGCTGCATCTGGTTAATCAAGAATACTTTATCCTGTATCTAGCCAGCACAGCAATTACATTGAATACACTGTCTGATCCTGCAAAGAAGAATTTAGCAAAGGTATGTTAGGGATGATAGCTAGAGAAGGGGATATTTACCTGAACCAATCCACACCTAAGGAGGATGGGATTTGGTTGAGTATTTATAATGCAAAGTATCCCCAAATTAACTTTTCCAGGGCTGTTGTAAAAGTTACTTGACTACGACACAAGAAGATAGAGATCTGAAAGATTAATGAATGAAACAGATGATCAGTAAACTGAAGGACATGAGGATAGACACCTTTTTACATTAAAAACCAGAGCTGACATGTGGAAAAAAGTCTTGAGTGTAGGAATAATGTATGTTCTGCTGCTGTAGCTCTGATAGACGTTCTTCCAAGAAACTGTCAAAATTGTGTCTTGTTATTCAGTATTCTCAGTTTTCACAGCAAGGGTCAGATGTTTCAGGCGGGCTCCGCTTCCAGAACCTGAGAACAGTGGGAGCTGCTGGATATTGGGCATTTCTGGAGTGGCCAGATTGTCATTTCGGTGGAATGGAAGCTGTTGTACGCGGAGTTCTTTTCAAAATCTGTCCCGCAAGATCATTCTCTAAAGTATTTTAATATGAAGAGGTTTCAAAGTTCCTCTGGAATGGGAACACAATTTATTACGTTTTTCAAAAAGATTATACTGTATTTCTATTTGAAAGTAACATTACAGGCTTTGGATTTTATGTTCTTATATTTGTCTAAAACATCTAAATAAGATAATCAGGAAAAACAACTGTTTCCACTTATTTTATTAATAATGTAATTTTTATAAATCCACGCTGAATAGAACACACCCCATTTTCTGCTTCAAATTATTGTAAACAAAGTAATTCTAAACATTTTCAGATAGCCATTTGGGCTAAAAATAGTGATATTGGCCAGTATTTCACAGTAGTACAATAGTTATTGGGGG